GGGGTAACCCCGACCCTGCGCCCTCCTGGAGCCGGTGCGCCGCTCCCAGCTCCTGCGCGCCTGGGCGGCGGCGCAAAGTTCCCCGCTGCGGGGCGCGATCCCCCAACGCGCGCCTGGCTCCCGAAAGCAGCGCCCAGCCCCGCGCTCCGCGGACAACTTTCAAACTTCGCCCATTTCCCTGCGCCCCCGAGCTGCGGGGCGACGCGGCGCCCCCTGGGGGACCGTCTGCAGCTTTGCATGCTCTCCAGCATCATGGGCTTCCTTTTGCTCCGCTCCCAACTCCTCTGAGGAAGAAGTGGGGTTTGCCTAGAAACCCTCATGATACATCGCTATAGCTAGAGCCAGAGGTATACTGATTTAGCCTTTAAGGTGCCTCTAGACTCCCCTCCATGTGCTGTAAAGTCTCAGAGGGGTATTCATGGACATGAACTGGTTAACTGCACTACAAAGCCAATTTCCCCCTGCCTTTCACACCCCAACTTTTTCCACATCAAAAACTATGAATGGGACACAGCCAGGCCACTTAATTAGCTTCATTAACAGTGTCGGAAAATTGACAGGTACTTCTTTTGGTATATATAGTAGAACTAACAGAATCCAAGGTATATCAGTATTGATATTGAGATGGATCTTGATATCTTGGATTCTGTTATTTCCACTCCAACTCATCTGATGAAGTGGGTCTTACCAAGGAAAGCTCATGACTATATAGTTTTGTTAGTCTGTAAGGTGCCACAGGCCTACTCGTTGTTTTCCATGTGTCCGGGTACCTAGGATTAGCTCTAAAAAGAAGACAAGAAGGGCACATTTGGGAAATCCTTTATAGAATAAGATTAAGATATTTAGGTTAATGCAGAGGGGGAATCCTCTTTTTTCGAATTCCAGTACGAGTTGTGTCATTTTTCTCACTGCACACCTCAAAGGAGACTTTCTATATTAGTGCGTTCAGGATGTTTTGGACAAGGGCATTCCAATTTGGTTCTGTCTCAGGATTTCTTAGATTTTTTAAAAAATCTTGCATGATTGGAGTACAATACAGCAATATTTTGTAGTAAGGGGTTACTAGAAAGTCATTGCTAGAACAACACAGTCACTTACTTTTCAGTGACGTGACTATATGAAAAAACGTAGTTTAAACAATGTAGATAACATTTTCTGCAAGGAGCTGATGCTCACCTCAATACATGGAAGGTTCATGTGCACATCAGAGTTTTATTAAAACCCCAGACATTTGGAAGGGGGAGAAGCCCTTCTGTTTCAGAGCCAATCACAGGACTTGGAAGACATTTTTCTACTGGCATATGATTCCCTGTCCTACAATAGCATTTCTTGCACTTTCCTGAGACCTAGTCATGGGCCACTGGTTTGATCTGGTAAACCAATTGCTTTTTTCCTATGATGTAATCTTACTTGTACTCTGATTAATCTGTTTTAAAGGTAACTCAGATTAGACTTGGATGGCCAAGTTTATTTAAAACATACACACATGCTGTTATTGAAATGTAATAGTATTTAGGATTTAAATAGCTGCATTTCTTACCCACAATCTCACAGATCAACATAACTTCACATAGGCTGTGTCTACACTACAAAGAAAAATCGGAAAAAGATAGGTTCACAATTTGCGTATCTTTTTCCGCTTTTCTTTTGGAAAAGGTTTTTCGGAAATTTGGCACATCTACACGGCATCAAATTTTGGAAAAATCTCCTGTTTCGGCACATCCCTTCTTCCTCGTACAACGAGGTTTACAGGGATGGTGAAAGAATGCATCCACTTTTCCAAATTTTTTTGGATACCTCTGGTATCCTGGAAAAGAGCTGCAGTATAGATATAGCCATAGGTGAGTATTTTCTATCCATCTTATTGAGGGTCAAAGCGAGGCATAGAGAATTTGAAGTAACTTGCCCAAAGTGAGTAAACTGTAAAACCAGGTCTGAAACCAGAGTACCGACTCTCAACCTGGTGTCTTCTCTGCTAGATCTCCTTTCTTTCTTCAACAGCCTGAAAGAGGAAACCCTCTCCATCAGGCCACTAGTGGCAGAATTATTAAGGAAATAACATTCATTTCTTATTATTGTCATTGGCAATTTACAAAACAGGGATCCCCATTTTCTAAGATTCATTGGAGGAATGTGCAAGACCAGGATGGGAGAAAGGACCTTATCTTACAATAAACTCGACTCTTTCCTTTTCTTCATGAAATTCAGAAGTCCTTGGGGGAAGGGAGGAATTTGGAGGGGGAGAAACATCACTTTTTTTTGCACCATTCCTGAAGGCTGTGTCTAGACTGCATCCCTTTTCCGTAAAAGGGATGCAAATTAGACACATCACAATTGCAAATGAAGCAGGGATTTAAATCCCCCCCGCTTCATTTGCATACACATGGCTGCTGCTTTTTTCCGGCTCGGGGCTTTGCTGGAAAAAAGCGCCAGTCTAGACGGGGATCTTTCAGAAAATAAAGCCTTTTCTGAAAGATCCCTTATTACTTTTTTGAAGAGGAATAAGGGATCTTTCAGAAAAGGCTTTATTTTCTGAAAGATCCCCATCTAGACTGGCGCTTTTTTCCAGCAAAACCCCGAGCCGGAAAAAAGCGGCAGCTATGTTTATGCAAATGAAGCTGGGGGGATTTAAATCCCCGCTTCATTTGCAATTGCAATGTGTCGAATTTGCATCCCTTTTACGGAAAAGGGATGCAGATTAGACACAGCCGAAATGTGTGTGCCTCATATTATACAGATAACATCCTTTACTGCAATAAGCAAAATAATGTCGCAGCTACAAAAATCTGTTAGTTCTAGATTTGTCGGGTGCATCCTTTCGAAGGTTCATATATTCTTCCATAACATAAAGCTGCTTGTATTAGGATATATCATATTCCATATTGGCAGAATGTCAACATTTTGTATCTTTATTCTCAATTGGAACGAAACCAGATTTTCCAATGTCAAAATCTTTCCCCAAAACGGAGACTAACTTCTCCGACGTCAGGCAATGGTTTTGGAGCCCCCTAGTGGAGTGTTTGGCTCCTTCCTCTGGACCATGGACCTCTATGTTGCTGAAGTAACATCTCTGAGTAGACACAAAGAGATGCTTTATGTTGCAGGCTTTCCTGAGTGGAGCAGTGGCCACACCTGGTGTCCGGAAGGACGTGGAAGTGCTAAGAGGCTGTGCTTGCTTCTGCTCATGGTTGGTGGTACGGGAAAGCTTGGTGAGCTGTCTAGCTCCACTTTCCCAGTGTCTGGGGGCTGGCAGCTACTCAAATTAAACCCGACTACCCGCCCTATGCAGGGCTGCCCATCACTAAACTCCACCTTGTAGCTGTGACACTAGGCTTCACCCTTGAGACTCGAACATTTTCCAAGGGGAAACCCGTTGGGTTGGGAAATGCTGGTTTGACAGTGTGACACTTTCTCTGGGTATCCAGGAGTATGCGTCACTAACCCCCCTACTCACCCTCCTCCAGGAGAGAGACTTCCTGATGGTCTCCTTGAAATCAGCTCCTAACGGCATCAGGCTGTTAGCCTCCCAAACCATCTCCCCTGCCCTTACTTTGCCTTGTAGGTTAAGAGTAGGTACACCCCCACCGCTGAGTCCTCTGGGACCATTCCCCTGCCTGTAACCTTTGGGCACTCAGAAATTACCAGCTAAGATGTCCCCAAAGGCATCATGTGCGTCCCAGCTTGCCTTGTTCAACTGAGGAGCACCACCAATATCATATCACAAGATCCCTGCATGGATACAAAATTCTGTATCTGTATCCGTATCCGTATCCGTATCCGCAAAAATGAGCCACGGATACCCACACCAGGGGATGCAGAAACTCACGGGTGCAAGGGAAACTCACGAGTACAAGCAGGTACCTGCACATTTGCAGAGCTCTAGATACAAACAGGAGCCGCATATCAGCAAAAATGAGCCACGGATAGCCACATCCACATGCTGGGGTGCGGATACCCACGGATATGAAGTGGATATCTGTGGATTTGCAAGGCTCTACACATCACAGCTCTGAGTTCTTGCTACAAGGGAAAATACAAAGTTTATTATCAAAAGCTAAGGTTTAAGCCAGGGTGAATAAGGAGAGTGATGGAAACAGAAATGGTTCCATATCAAACATAAGTATGAAATGCTTCCTGGAGTCTGAACTTTAGACAAAGGATTAACCCGTTCAAGTTCTCTCTCCAAAAGCAACCGCCCAGTGTCTCCAGCCATGGCCAGAATCCCCCTTTCACCGATTGCAGAAAGTGCTGTCCTTTTGGCTTCCTTGGTGAAGGATGAGTCTTTTTGTCTTCCCCTTGTGCTCCCCCAAGTCATTGTTTTGGATGACTTTGGGGAACATAAGGATGACTTCCCGGTAATTCCCTGGAGAACTGTCTCTGTGTTACCTTCACATCTTCCTGTTGACATTGTATGCAAACGGGCTTCCGTTGGGTTGACTTACTATGCTCACATACGTTACCATGAAGCATGGCAGGGAAGTGAAGATGCGTGTATGCAAATGGACGTCCGTTGGGTTGACTTACAATGCTCACGTACGTTACTATGAAGCATGGCAGGGAAGTGAAGATGCACCCTTTGTCTGGTCAAAACCTGTTGGTGACCCTGTTTTGCCTCGGACTTTAAAACCACCCTTCCAGACTATATATGTGACTCCTTACATAGCCTCTGTACATACATTTCATGATCATGAAGCCCAGTAGGACACAAATTTTTACTCTATACCTCACTTGATCTTCTTTGGATGAATTCGATGAGAGCAATGTGTTGGGTGTAATGAGTTTGTCAGGGCTGGTGCGGGCTATTGATACAGAATGATGAACCCTTCTTCCTATTGGCTTTTTGACAGACTCTTTGGGTCACAGTCAGAACTGAAATGTTCTGCGGAAACGTGTCAGTTTTGTTGACGAATTCAAGAAGAAACCAGCCGGCATCATTTCCGGACTGGTTGGTGGAGAAGGTGGGCAGGCAGAATAGATGGCGAGGCTGCTCCTTCTCCCAGGACAGGGGAGAGGACCTGCAGGAGGGATGTCGGAAAATGAGCAAGGTAGTGAAGGAAAGGGAATGAGGAGGAGCAGGTGGAACTGAGAGTGAGGCTGGTCTGTTTGGTTGGGCAGTGGGCCAGGATATGAAAGGTCCAGATTCATTTTTGCCACACAGTCCAGCAAGTCTTGTGTGTCTACCTGGAGCCTCACACACTGGGGTCCTGATCTTGTTGGGGTGTCTAGGTGCTTCGATCGCTCCTCACTTAGCTTGGTTCTAAGCTGGTGAGACTCCCTTCAGCCCAGTTCCTCTTGGTCTACGGGGGGGGGAGGGGCACACGAGAAGAGCACTGAGTCTGAAAGCCCAGCTGTTTAGCACAGTTAAATATATTTTGTCCCCTGAATGTTGATTGGTCGGTCTGTCTCTATTCTCTTGCAGGGCTATTGGACCAGAAACCCCTGTACTGCTTCAATCTGACCTCCATGCAGGATTCAGAATTGGTCCTCACTGCCACGTTCCACTTCTACTCCGAGAAGCGCCCCCGGCACCGGGAAGTGTTCTGCAAACGCTCCAAGAACTCGTCCTGCCGCCTCCTCCACTTGCCCCCGGCCCCGCGGTTCCGTCTCGTGTTCCGGAGCATCCTCCAGAATGCCGCCTACGGGCTGGTGAAAGGCAACGTCACGGTGTTCCTCCACAGGCGGGGGGCGTGGCAGACGAAGGACATCTCCCCCATCATCAAGGAGTCTAAACGGGAGGGCGAGTTCGTTCTCTGTGCGGAGCTCGAATCTGGAGAGAAATACCAGGACTTCCCCAAACTGCTCCCCAACCATTTACCGTACATACTGGTTTACGCTAATGACCTGGCCATAGCAGAACCCAACAGTGTGGCCGTGACTCTACAGCGGTATGACCCATTCCCTTCCACCGACGGAGATCACAGCCTGTCCTCCAATGCGTCCACAGATGCCCGGGTGAGGAGGGACATATTTCTTTCCAGCTCTCTCCAGAACAACGAGCTGCCGGAGGTGGAATATAACAACCACAAATACAGCAAACATGACCTGTGGGGAAGTGCCTACAAGTCCCTACACCCCAAAACCTCCCGCAAGGACCGGAGGAGGAAAGGGCAAGAAAACACAGAGACGCTCACAAAATCGCAGGTGCTAAATTTTGATGAGAAAACCATGAAGAAAGCCAGGCGAAAACAATGGCACGAGCCCAGGGTGTGCTCCAGGAGGTACATGAAAGTGGACTTTGCCGACATTGGCTGGAATGAATGGATCATATCTCCCAAGTCGTTCGATGCATATTACTGTGCCGGGGCTTGCGAGTTTCCGATGCCCAAGGTAGTATGCGTCGCGATGGCGGATGCACGTGTCTTTAGTTGCAAAATATGTTGATTTAGGATGATTTAGCCCATCCTACTGCTACTGTGGAATTTGTCCACACTAGATTGCTCTGCCCCCCCGCCCTTTGATTAAAATCAGCAGCTCTTTCATGATGCTTTTCAGAGGAGATCAGTATCATCTATACCCATTTCACAGCTGGGGAAACAAAGGTACAGAGCAGTGATAAGACTTACCCAGCATCACCCAGCAATTTGGTGGTGGAGCCAGGAAAGGAATCCAGGAGAGTTCTATCCATTATAGTGTTTCCACCAAAATTAATTTGGAGCCTTTTCTGAAGTTTAACAGCTTCGTTAAGGCCTCTTAATATTGAGCTTCGACTTATTCTTTAGCCTAACAGTTCTAGTGTTATGACATCAAACCACATGGTGTAGGCCGACTCAATAGATTAAAATATTAGCACACGCCCCCAACCCTTCAACTTGCTTTCGGGGTGGGAGAAAAGTTCCTACACTAATGGGGCCTGTTGCATCATAAGCACATCCCGTCCCAAGGCAGCACGGCCCAATGGCTTCAGTCTATATATTAGCCCTTGAGTCTCAGGGCATCTGTTGCATCATAAGCACATCCTGTCCCAAGGCAGCACAGCCCAATGGCTACAGTCTATATATTAGCCCTTGAGTCTCAGGGCAGCACTGCCCAATGACCAGAGTCTATAAAGTAGCCCTTGGGAACAGGACAATATAGCCTAATGGCTAGAGTCAAAGGGGTTGGGGCAGCAGTCCTGGTAGGGGGGGTCCAGGCCCACCCTACTCCACCACACCTCAGTGGGGGAGTGATCTGCCACTTGCTCAGCAGGGAATTACACCGCAACATGCTGAGCTCACTTGGGCGGGAGATACCACTCGTGCACCCTTCCGGGGTCACTTCCTACTAGATTTGGCATTGGGCTGACCCACATGGTTTTAGGGTCCTTCCACTCTGGAGGCTCGATACAATCTCCTGGGTCTCCGTCTCTCATTGCCTGGGTGTCTGGCTGGTCCACCTGTAGCAGGTCCTTACCTCTCCAGCATCCAGCCCAAACTGAGCTGAGCTGCTCCCTTTTATACTACCCCAGCACTTGGAGCATGCTCGGTGTGGCTGGGGGCAGGACTTCCTCTGGCTACAGGGCATTAAGCCCTCCTGGCCCAGTACGGGGTATGCACACCCCGTCACAGGGCTCAAACCATACATCATACACTAGTGTTTAGAATCCCTCCTGGGCAGGTGGATGAAACTTACTAATAAGTTCCAAAGTGAAGTCCAGTGGGAGTTTTGCCTTCTAGATTTGGCCCAGGATATACATTATGGTTATGATGATTTCCTGCTTTTCTACTTTGCTTTGACATTTGCAAGCTCTAGCAGCAATCGTCCAAGTCTTCATCCCGCACTGCCAGACAAATGAGTATTCTGCACTGATTGGAGATGTCCTTCTACATTCAAAAGCGTAGCTATTATCGGTGCTCTCAATCCGGAAGCAAGGCACCATAAGAAAGAGCAGGAATTATGCCTAACTCCCGCACTAGACAGGATAATCCATGGAGTTCTTGTAAGATATAGAAATAATTCATTTTAGAGGGACTTGGATTCTTAGATGACACACTTTCAAAGCAGGGCAGGATTTACAGACCTTCAGAACCCTGATGAATGTATACAGAGAATGCATTTGTACGTGCAAACTGCTCCGAGCAACAGCTAAGCACCATGCATAAGCCGAGGACTTTGAGTAGCAGATGTCGTATGTGGTGCCCACTATATGCTGTAATACTGTGTTTACTTAAGGTTACAGAGGGGTAGCCGAGTTAGTCTGTACAGGATGAACTTAAAAAATAACGAATAGTCTGGTGGCACTTTAAAGACTAACAAAACTGGGAGAGGGTTCAGAGAAGAGACACAATGATTAAAAGATTGGAAAACTTGCCTTACAGAGAGAGACTGACAAAGCTCAGTCTAGTTTACAAGGAGACGGTCACGGAGTGACTTGGTCACAGCCTGTAAGCACCTTTATGCAGGGCCGGATTATCCATTAGGCACAGTGCCTAGAGCCTACAAAAAAGTTTAGGGCGTACAAAAAATTCATAATTGACTTGAAGATAAGAAAACTGCTACATCAAACTTAATAATTTGCTATCTTCGGTCAACAAACAGCATACAGTTATAACATACTATTAGGCGTATGGGCGATAGGGCATCTCTCCCTTCTATATTTATCTATAATCTAATTTAAAGGCCTACGGTTATGGGAGTGCCTAGGGCCTACGAAGAGCTTAATCCAGCCCTGCCTTTATGGGGCACAAAAAATAGAAAATAAAGTTCTCGCCACTGCAGCAAACAAACAAGCTCCAAAGGCTCGAGAAATTCAGCCTAGAACTAAGGTGAAATATTTTAACCATAAGGGTAATTAACTATTCAAAAAAAGCAACAAGAATTGCGATGAATTCTCCACCGCTGGCCATTTTTAAATCAAGATTCGAGTTGAAAAAGGAATTAAGTGAGGGAAGTCCTACATCCTGAGCAATGCAGTCGGTCAGATTACAAATTACCCAACCTTCACCCAAATTACAGATATTTTACATCAGAGAATTACCACACACTGAAATAGGTGCCGTCCCCTTTTCACAGATGAGGAAACCAGGGCATGGGAATCAAGTGACTTGCCCGAGGCCATTTGTGAAGTCGGTGACATACTGCTCAAATCTGACTCCTAAGCCAATGCTTCCACCATAAGCCCATCTTTCCCCCTTTGCTTCAACAACTCAGGTTTCTTGTGAACAAATTCATGACGTCCGTTTTTCCGCGTTAAGCCTGCTGTCCCACACTGCACAGGGACAAAAGTGAGTGAAAAATTCTGTCGGAATACAAAAAAAAAATCTGAAATCTATTATAGATAGGCTAAGTTGTTTCTAAGGTAAGGAACAGCAAACTATAGATGTAAGTATCTCTATGTATTCAGATCTCCAAACAAATCCAGGTTTAATGTTGTCACTACTTCTCCTTCAGAAGTATTAGGCAAATAGAAAAATGAGCCACAAAGTTGAAATTCTCATAGACTCAGATCCAAAATCTGTGAGGGTTCAGATTTGTGGGTTTGGTTTGTTAGGCCCCACTGTTCTGGAAATTCTTCTCGCTGGCTGCTCATAACTTGTATTTTAGAGCAAATAAATACAACACTGAGAGATAAAGTCAACATTTCTGTCATTGCTCCTCAATTTTACCACAGAGAAGGGAAACAAAATTCTTAGAGACAGTCCCTCAGCTATCCACATCCAGGCAGGCAAACAACTTAATCTCTAAGGTTACATCTCCACTGTAGCAAAAAAAAATTTGGAAAAGCGGACATGTTCTTACCCCTGTAAACTTTGTTGTACAAGGCATAAGGGATGTGCCGAAAGGAAGTTTTTCCAAAATTTAGCCTCTTGAAAAAGATACGCAACTTGTGGTATCTTTTTCCAACTTTTTCTTTGTCGTGTAGACACAGCCTAAGAGGTGGGAGGGAGGAAGAAATACTATTTACAGGGGCAAAGACAAATGGTGGGATATTGTAAAAACTTGGTCCCTCAAAACGAGGCAGTCAAGAACATGGGCATGGGATTTTTGGATACCATAAAAATGAGAGTCGGGTTCAGGCCACTCTGAAAACTTGTCCTAGATCAGCCACCACAGGAATGAGGAATTGATAGGATGTAACTAACAAATTAAGTGCTCACTTTGCGGGATACGGTGCTGGAGCCATGGAATGCATCTGGGATGCTGAGCTTTGCCAAACAGAGAGAGGAATGTTTTTCTTTCTGCTGGGATCTTCATACTGAACTGACCCTAACGACTGCAGTCCACAATTGGGGCCCAAAATGCAGGGATCAGCACTGCACGCTGACACACTCTGTACAAGTTCCTCTCCCCAGGCTTGGAGAAGCTACCTGGGAGGGGAGGGATTAGTTCCATTTCCAAACTGACCTTCTGCCAAAGGTCAGTTTAAAGTGCGCAATTCCAGCTATGTAAAAATCATATCTGGAGTCGATGTTCCTTAAGCCAAGCTTTGGCGCCGTCCTCCCAGAGAGAGGTCAATGGGAGAAATGCTCCCGTCAATATCTCTTACTCCTCATGAGGAATAGGAGTTCCGACATCGACGGGGCACCTTCAGCGTTCGATTTAGCAGGGCTTTACTAGACGTACTAAATCAAACTCTGCAAAATCAATTGCTGCAGTGTTGATCCTCTGGCAAGTCAAGATGTGGCCTAAGATCTCTCAGCAAAGGAATCATGGAAATGGAGGACTGGAAGGGACTTCGAGAGGCCGTTTAGTCCAGCCCCCTGCGAGGAAGTAGGACCAAGGAACCTGAGATCATCCCTGACAAGTGTTTGTCCAACCTGTTCTTAAAAACTTCAAGTGATAGCGATGCCACAAGCTCTCTTGGAAGCCCATGTCAGAACTTGACAACTCATATAGTTAGAAAGCTTTGTTTGTAATATCAAACCTAAATCTCCCTTTTGGCACAGTAAGCCCATTCTTGTCCTTGCTTCGGTGGCCATGGAAAATGACTGATCGCCATCACCCCTTCGCAACAGCATTAGAAGATTGTTCTCAGAGTGCCCACAGAATCATGCGCATGTAAGGAAAAAAAATTGGGGCAACATTGGATAACACCCTGTTCTTAGGCTGGTGTGAGTCAGGAACTTGGCATAAGCAGATGTAACTGTGGACAGGGTGGGATTGTACAAGAGGAAAGCAACTAATCAGATCTGAAGGCATATGATAAAAGGGATGGGGTGACTATCTGATACCTCCTAGGTGTATTTTTTTCCTGCTTCCATCCCACCCTTCTGTACTTTTAGGATCAAATTGCTCCTTCCGTGGGTCTGCATGGGGAGTGAATGAAGGCAGAATTTGGCCTGCCCTATGTTGCTTAAACTCACTAGTGTGTAACATCTGGTTCCACCCCTGCTGTGCCTTCAGCTCAGAGTTTCACAAGTTTTCCCTTCAGCGCCTGCACTGGCACAAAGCGAATGCAACAGCTGGCCTGCCAGGCTGCCTGGAAGGCTGGCAGAGTTCTGAGCACGGCCTGGCTGTGAGTCTCTGTGCTGCCCGGCCTGCGTTACAGCTGCTGTGTTCAGGCAGCCAGGTTCTGTGCGGCGCACCAGCCCGTACTTACCCGTGCTGGCTGCGAGCGCCGTGACACAGCGTTTGCCCTTCCGGGCCACCGAGGCTAGTGAAACTCAGCGGGCTAATTCGGGAAACAGGACAACCTGAGATTTGAGCAGCTGCTTTCAAGGATGCGAGTGCCACAAGTCTGACGTTCCACCATCCATTTAGGAAGCTGGGGTAAATCTGTCAGGATGGTACTTGGTCCTGCTGTGTGGGTGAGGGACTGGACTCAATGCTCTACAAGATAGGTTGTGACTTCATGTGGTGTCATAGCCAGAAAGACGTGAGCTGGTGCCTGCTGGACCCCTTGTTACCTTCTGTAGCTGTTTCAAGTCAGAGCACAAGCTGTGAGCCTGCTGGACTCCTTGTTACCTTCTGTAGCTGTTTCAAGTCAGAGCTACAATGTAATCATAAAATATTAGTACTGGAAGGGATCTTGAGAGGTCAAGTCCAGTCTCCTGCCCCTATGGCAGAACCAACCACCACCTAGACCAGTGTTTCCCCAATTTCATTTGGCCATGGAACCCTTTTAAACACGGAAGAATTTTGCGGAACCCCTAATAACAGTCTAATATATGAGCTGAAAAAGTAGACCACAAAGAAGTAAGGATAATAATAAACAAATGTTAAACAAGGTCTCGAGATCAACATTTAGTTTAATTGCACGTGTTTAAAAACAAAAATCACATAATACTAATAAATATTTTGTAATCATAAAATGCTATTGTGATGGAATTTTCTCGTGGAACCCTTATTTTCACTTTGCGGAACCCCGGGGCTCCGTGGAACACCATTTGGGTAACACTGGCCGAGATGTCTATCCAGCCTGCTCTTAAATATCTCCAGAGATGGAGATTCCACAACCTCCCCAGGCAACTTATTCCAGTGTTTCACCACCCTGACAGATAGGAAGTTTTTCCTAATGTCCAAGTGATTGGTCCTTCCAGGTAGGAAATACAGTTTTTAGTAGCCAAGTAAGTTGTATATAAACAAAGTAGCATGTGACATGCATAGGACTGTGGTACCACAGTGCTCCTAAACCCCCTATCGTTGGGCGTGATTGCCAGCAGCGGCAAAGATCTGTTTTGTGCCTAGCAAAGTAACAACTGTGAAAGCGACTTCCCCTAAACGAAGGGGTAACCTGTTTCCTTCTTTGTTTCAGATTGTCCGGCCATCGAATCATGCCACAATTCAGAGCATCGTAAAAGCTGTGGGAATCATTCCAGGCATTCCCGAACCCTGCTGCGTTCCGGACAAGATGAACTCGCTCAGCGTCCTGTTCTTTGATGAGAACAAAAATGTCGTTTTAAAGATCTACCCCAATATGTCTGTGGAGACTTGCTCCTGTCGATAAGTCTACGCCAGTGTTCCTTTAAAGAGACCAGTGCCCCCAGCTTTACTACAGTTGTGAATGGGAAATGAACTGGCCTGTGTTTATGAATGAATGCAAGTCTACAATTCCATCCACAGAAAGCATGCGGAGACTATAAAGTAACACACAAGCTCCCCTGGAAAGATCTCCCTTCATGTCATCGTGTGTCTTGCAAATTAACAGGAGTCATCTGCCAGAAATCCCCTACTTTAAAAAAAAAAAGCAAACCCCAAACCTCTTCTTAACCTGGCTAGCTAAGAAATCTGGTATTTAGTGTAATCACTTCTACTTAAACAGAGCTTGCCAGGACCCAGGGACTAAAATACATCCTTATGTGCTGTTTTCCTGGCTGTTTTATCCCTTCAGCAAACCAAGGAGAAAAATGGATTTTGCAAAGGCAAACGTACTCTAGAATCACATTTTATGGACAAAAATTGTAAGGTTTTGTTAATGGTTATTTTTTTCCCTAAAACACTCACTTATACCTTTTAATCCACGTATTTATATTGAAAAAGAATTCTGTAATAAGGGCTTAATATGTATATTTTTCTTTGGGATTCAGATGTAGTGTGTTATATAAGCTCTTATATATACACAATATGTTAATATAACCACTTTTGGTTCCCTTTCCCTAATATATATTTTACAAAAGACATATGTAACTCCTTCCCACAGTCACTTGTTTGCTGGTTAATTTCAGATTGCTAAACATATTATATATATATATATATATATTCTCTGAATAACACAAACTATATAGTAATATGTTTAAATACTAAAAATAACCAAGATTTATATTTTTGTAAGTTATACTTTATATCCTCTAGATTCATTGTTAAATGCTTTTAACAAAAGCTAATACATTAAAGGTACAGGAGTATCTAAAATAGTGAAAATGGCTCTCTAAATCCCATGCATATTTCATGTCGATCAAAATCGATTATTGCATTGTGTCAGTTAGAAAGAAATCAGAGCTATCTGACTTGGAAAACCCTCATTATGTTTGTTGGAGTAATTTTTATATATTAAGCTAGACAGGACCGTGAGGATATTCTCTTCTGGCTTCCTGCATAATGCAGTCCAGCAAAGCTGACTAGAAATTTCTGCAGCAAACACATAACTTCTGTTTGGCACTAGAGCAGGTCTTTGAAAGGGTTGCTAATCGTGATTTCAAATCTTCCAGTGATGAAGACTCTATCCTTTCCCTAGGTAAGTTCTTCTGGTGGGTTTTTACCCTCCAGCTGTGTCTAGACTGGCAAGTTTTTCCGCAAAAGCAGCTGAGCGGAAAATCTTGCCAGCTGTCTACACTGGCCGCTTGAATTTCCGCAATCTCATGTAAGATTGTCAGTGTTCTTGTGGAAATACCATGCTGCTCCCGTTTGGGCAAAAGCCCTCTTGTGCAAATGCTTTTGCACAAGAGGGCCAGTGTAGACAACGCGGTATTGTTTTGCACAAAAAAGCCCTGATGGCAAAAATGGCGATCGGGGCTTTCTTGCACAAAATCGCATCTAGATTGGCACGGACACTTTAATACAAAAAGTGCTTTTGCGGAAAAGCATCCGTGCCAATCTAGACACTCTTTTCCACAAATGCTTTTAACGGAAAAACGTTTCCGTTAAAAGCATTTGCGGAAAATCATGCCAGTCTAGATGTAGCCTCTCTGTTAAAACTGCTTCATTTCTAACCTGAATTTGCACCACTTCAAGTCACCTGCTCTTGTCTTTTTCTGCTCGATATAAGATGTTTACTTTCAAAAGTTTCTTCCATGCAGGTACTTGGCCATTGAGCTCAGATCACCTCGTACCATTCTCTTGATTAAACAAAAGAAAATGTCTTTAGTCTCTCGCTATGTAGATTTGAGGTCTGGAAAACCTGCCTTGGGGCTCTTCTCTGAACCCCAAGTTTAATATTATGCTTTGGGGAATGGCAACCCTCTGTAGAGGTCATACCAGGTCCCTTCTCCTGTCTGATAATCCCCAACTACTACACTCACCCTCTTAGTTACAGCATTTCACTGACACGCCAATTCAATTACTGTAGCTCTCGAAGCCTCTTTTTCCCTGCATTCCAGGGGATGGTCTCCATCTTGCTTTACTGCCACTCCCTCACCGTATAGTGAGATTCAGAACCAGGGTTGGGGGGTGTTGCTGTGGGTTTTTTTTTAAATTCACCCATTGACGTCGGTGAAGGTAAATCAGAGCAAGATGTGGCCCCGTGCTGAAGAGATCACCTTGCACGATCTTCCTGTTCTTCTGTCCAAAGCTCAGGAACCGTTTCATTCTAGACATGCCTTGAGGGCGTGGGGCTGGACTCGATGACCTCTTGAGGTCCCTTCCAGTCCTATTATTCTATGATTATTCTATGATGCACCGCCAGCCCTTACGTGAGGTAAATATTACACTTAGGGTCATCCGCTGCTCTCCGCTGAATGTCCCTGGGTGGAGAACACTGCCAGGTTGGAGAACGTAAGCGCTTTAGAGAGAAGGGCATGATCCAAGGGTTTTGTCTGATATGAGTATCTACCTCTGAGGCCATGGTGCCGGTAAGAATCTTACTTAAAAATACACGTCCTGATTCTCCTCCCACTTACCCTGTTATGAATCAGCAACAATTCTATTGAAGTCCATGGTCTCCATCTGGCACTGCTTTTGGGGCATGGACTTGCTCCCCAAACCACGCCGACCACGGTGAGAAACAGCTCCTCCATCCAGGCCTGTGGTCTGAGGTAAAAATTCCTCCCCTGTACACAACGGCTGTGTCTACACTGGCCACTTATTCCAGAAAATCAGCTGCTTTTCCGGAATAACTTGCCAGCTGTCTACACTGGCCCCTTGAATTTCCGGAAAAGCACTGATGATCTACTGTAAAATCATCAGTGCTTGTCCGGAAAACTATGCTGCTCCTGTTTGGGCAAAAGTCCTTTTCCAGAAAACTGTTCCGGAAAAGGGCCAGTGTAGACAGCACAGATTTCTTTTCTGCAAAAAAGCCCCGATCGCGAAAATGACGATTGGGGCTTTTTTGCGGAAAAGCACGTCTACATTGGCACGGACGCTTTTCCGGAAAAAGTGCTTTTCCAGAAAAGCATCCTGCCAATGTAGACGCGCTTTTTCCGGAAATACTTATAACGGAAAACTGTTCCATTTTAAGCAGTTCCAGAAAATCATGCCAGTGTAGACATAGCCACTGGGTGCTCTTAAAACGCAGAAGACCTGGGCTCCATTTAAGAGTTACGCCTGCAGAGCTAACTTTTGTGTTCGGATCTGCGAGCGCAAGAAATCACAACACTGGCCCAACATTGCGATGCCAGACAAAGGCCTAGTCTAAGCACAGTTGGATACTTTGCTCAAAGAGCTGGCATAAATCATTCTGCCGAAGGAACTCTTGCTGCTACAAGTTGCGTTTCCACTGGGAGGTATTGCCAGGAGTGCCAGATGGGCAAAGCTTTTAGGTTTTAAAGGCCTAGCCTAAGATTTTTCCAAACGGAGTACTGATTTTAAGGCCCTTTGTGCTGGGTTGCCCCATTGGAGACACCCGTGGGGCTTTTCAGACAGCGTAGAGCATTCGCCCTTTCAAAATCACGTCCCTCTAAGACAGGTCAAATTTGGCATCCAAAAATTACGTGTCACTTGAAAATCTTGACCCTCAGCCGATGACTTTTGAGCTATGACATGGTGAAAGAGAGTCTGGAATTGGAGCACCTGAAAAAAATATCACTTCAGGCCATTGGGTCTCAGACTGTGGGGTCAGGACCCCAAGATGGATCCAATTTGAATGGGGTTGCCAGGGCCAGCTTAGACTTGCTGGGGCCTGGGGTTCAAGCTGGAGTCCCCCTGCCCAAGGCCAAAGCCAAAATCTGAGCGCGTCAGCCTTGGGTGGGGCTCAGGTTACAGGTCCCCTGTTACGTCCTTGGTGCTTTAGCTTTGGCTCTCCCCAGCCCTGAGTGATGGGACTCAGGCTTTGCCCCCACCCCACCTGGGGCAGTCGGGCTTGGGTGGGCTCAAGGTCCGGTCCCCTCTCCTGCAGCCATGAAGTGGTTTTTGCTGTCAGAAGCGGGTGGCGGCGCATGAAGTTTGCTCCATCCCTACTTGGCCGCAGGGGATGCCAGTTCCAGGGCTGAGCAAACTCCTGTGGACAGAAGCCATCAAGTGTTGCCTACTTCTGGAGTAGGAAGTGGGCCTGAAACACTTGCCCATGTATCACAGGCCTGGCGAGAGACCCGAGGCCTAGGCAAAAGTGGTCAAGACTTTGCTAATAGAAAGCACAGTGGAGCTGTGAGCAAGAAGTGCTTAGGTTCAGCTCCGACTCCTACAGAACCAGTGCGAGTTGGCTCAATCCTTTAGGCTTTGCCATAAACGACTGCGATTGCTCGTTAGCTGGGGGAGTGACAGCCTTGCTGCCGTACCCTGACTCCAGTCTTCTTTTGAAGGGGATGTGCTCAACCTATCTCCATCGGTGGCTGAGAGCATCCTATATATCCCCTCACTGGTGACCCCATGAACTGAGGAAATCCTTTCCAGCCTGTTAGCTCCTGAGGAGACTGTTATAAAAATATTTCCCTCAGTAGATATTGTCTATCAGCAGGCCCTGAAAACTTGCACCGAGTGTACAAAAGAAGTTGGCTGAGGAGATCTCTGGTTCACTGATGTTAATCTACTATATATCTGAGAGAGTTTGTCTGTCTGTCTGTCCAAGAACTCCTCAGCGGGAAGAGCTAGGGCCATCACATTCGGGAGGCAGCTTCCTCTTGTCGTGGCTTAAAGCAAGGTCAGGTTTCGGTTGTGCCAGGACAATGGGGAGTGCTTGGAATGGGATTGCGTCTCATCAAAGCATGCAGAAAAGAGACAGACTTACCAGGCAGGTGAAAGAGGCTGGCTGCACGTGCACCCTTCCCCCCCATTTAATTGCTCCAGCGCTCCTACCCCCCATGCACCCTTTAGGGAAGGCGGGGGGTGGGGCTGAAGCTCCCTCCTGCTCCCATTTGTAGGGGAACATTGCTGGCGGTTCCCCTTCATCAGGGAGTGAGGGGAGTGCTGTGTTTGCTGCATTCCTCTCTCTGGCTGGAGAGGGCAGGAGGCAGATGAATCCGGACCTGCGCCAGCCAGGGAACAGGCACGCCTCCCCCAGCTGTGCCCACTGGCGCTGCAGTGGCCTTGCAGAGGCGCTTCTCACTTGACCCCAAGCGGCTGCCATGAGAGGGGGCTGGGGTAGTCCTCTCCCCTGTGAACTGAGCCCCTCCTCCCCAGCCTGACTCCAGAGCAATGATTCAAATGAAGCGTGAATATTTTTATTGTATTTTCCAAAACTCAAAAATTGAGTCAAGGACCCCAGCAACGCCGGGTAAACTTCCGGTGCGACTGAAGCGTGAACATTTTTATTGTATTTTCCAAAACCCAAAAATTGAGTCAAGGACCCCAGCAACGCCGGGTAAACTTCCGGTGTGTCCTACATGGTAGAATACCTGGGCAATTCCCGTGCTAACATTGTGCCGGTATTTAAAATGGGCAAGAGATGAGCTGGATAACAATAGGTGGGGTAATAAGAAATCAGTCCTGGACAAGATAATGGATAAGTCACCTCTAGTTCAATTGCTGAAAAACAAAGAGGAGGGGATAAAGTCATCCCAGCTATTGCAACCAGCAATGAGGTCTAGAGGCAAAACCTTTCCTGGGTCTTTGCAATGGGATATTTTGCTGAGGAACTGAGATCAATCAGACAACATGGCACCCAGATACTAGGTGTCAATTGGTTCTCTAAAAATACAGCGTCTGTGTCTCCATTGGCACCCGTTTCCGGAAAAGGGATGCTAATGAGACACTTCGGAATTGCAAATCCGCGGGGGATTTAAATATCCCCTGCGGCATTTGCATGAACATGGCTGCCGATTTTTCCGGCTCAGGATTATGACGGAGAAAAGCGCCAGTCTAGATGCGATTTTCCGGAAAATAAACCCTTTTCCGGAAGATCTCTTATTCCTACTTGGAAAAGGGTTTATTTTCCGGAAAATCATGTCTAGACTGGCGCTTTTCTCCGGCATAACCCCAAGCCGGAAAAAAGTGGCAGCCATGTAAATGCAAATGCCGTGGGGGATATTTAAATCCCCCGCGGATTTGCAATTCCGAAGTGTCTCATTAGCATCCCTTTTCCGGAAAGGGGTGCCAATGTAGACACAGCCAGGCAGAATTGGTAACATTATCATCTACACTTGGATTAGAGCAGATTAGGCTCAATTAGATTCAGCTGCAAGTCATCTTTTTAATGTTTTAACTGGAGAGTTTCCTCCTGGAGATGCACAAAACTCTACCACAATTCTTATTTTTGTCTTGGCCAATATTCCCATGAAAAATCAAACATCTCCCTGGCTCATGTTCAGTGACTTCATAGAGACTTTAGGTTTCACTCCGGCTTAGTAAACCTGGCTTTATCTTCAAGAACAATTAGTCATTCTTGCAGTGACAGAGGAATGAGCTAGTTAAACCAGCGACCTCATGTAGAGGATTCTAAGAAAATACATTACATAACATACTACAAAGCCAGATTTTTTTTTTTACCCTTCCACTAAAGGATGCAAACTAAAAATGGACAAGCCGGCTAACAAGTTGAGGCAAACTTGACACAAGACAGATAGCTCACTGTGTACAAATAATAGCTCTTGGCCGATAAATGGAAAGCAATTTTAAGACTGTTCGTATTGTCATGAGAGCACAGCTTGCTAAAAGCACAGGGTTCAACCAGATGGTTGATTTTCGGAGGACAGGCGTAAAGGACCGTGGTATAGATTTGAGGGGTGATATTTTCTCCTGGCGAATTGAGTAGTTTGTTTTTACTCCCTGTTGTTATTTTTTTGGCATGGGGTGGAGGGGGGAAGTAGGGAAAACCAGAGTCTTTTCCTCCACCCCACCCCCCGTCCCGTTAAAAAAGTTCCTCTGAAGCCCTGTCAATGTTGGCCAACCCCGCCCCCAACGATAAAAGAGCATAATTAAGCAACGATGACCCTGCAGAGAAATGTGGATTCTTTGCAGCATACAATGTCCAGCCACATGTTTGTCAGATGTTTACAGAATCTTCATTAACGAAGAGCTTTGCAAGATAACAGAAACTGAAGCATGGCATCATGGCTTGAGATAAGGGCAAGTGTCCAACCAAGCTGCCTGACAACTGACAAGAGGCTGGGGGGTTGCAAACGAGCTCGAGAAAGTGATTTGCAAAGGGCTCTCACTCCAGTGGCTCGCCTTCCGTCTCCCGTTCTTCTGCCTCGAACGGGAGGCGCGATCTAGTCAGCTGGAAGAACCCCGTCCTTTTCCCACTTTCCGACGGAGGCGCACCCGTGAAAGATGTGCTCGTGGGGGGCGACGGCGGCCTGGCTGGTTTTCAACATCATCGCTTGCGTGGCAAGAGGCAAGCCCTTGGAAGCCTGGGGTAAATTATCAGAGAAATCCTTCGGTGAGCCCAGCGAGGTGGAGGGCAAGACCCCTTTCAACTTGAAAGCCTTCCTGGAAAACATGAAAGCCGATTTCCTGAGGAGTTTGAACTTATCCGGCATCCCTTTGCAAGAGAGGTCTAGAGAGGAGCCCCCGCAGTTCATGATCGATCTGTACAACAAGTATGCCACGGACAAGTCTTCCAGCCCGGCCTCCAACGTCGTGCGGAGCTTCAGTGCAGAAGGTATGAAATGTCTTACACCTATAGACCGGGGTTGGACAAGAAGCTAGAGAGTCCGTGTCAAATCCCATTGCAAATCAAAGGGACTCAGGCACCTAACTCCCTTGGGCTTCTTTGGAAAATCCCCGGCATAGTCTCTTTTGTTATCCTTTCCGCTGCTCTTCTCTTATACTCTTCCAGGTCCTAAATCCTTTTCTCTGAGTCCACATTGTGCCCTCTTGCTTCTCCAAGAAGCAAACGAAATATTCCAACTCTCCAAACAGAGTCACCACAACTTGGCTGCCTTGCCTTTGTTTTGGGGCTGAGATTTGGGGCTGAGCTGCAAAATTTGGGGGTAGGTTTTCCAACACCCCCAACTCTGGAGGATGTTTGGCCCTTGGGCATTGCTCCAGCCCTTTGTAAAGACAGGAGTCGAACGGGAAATGGGACTCCCGATTGCTGCTAGGAACACCAGCCTTTGCATTCAGAGATCGGGAGTGAGTGGGGCTGGGGGGTTTGGTTCAGGGCCCCGCTCAGCACCTCAGGAAAATACCCGACTATCCAGGGCTTAATTTGTGCCAGGCCTTGCCCAGGCAAAGGCCCTAAACCTCTCCACTCAGTAGCAGTCTCTAGGCTGGCCCTAGCACCTCTGGGCTTCCTGCGTCACTTACGAATGTAAAAAATTCCTTGCGGCCCAGCACCTTTTTCAGCAGAGTTTCAGCCATCTAAGACAGCACACGACTCAATCCTTTTAAAAGCCCTCTCGTTAGAATCAATAAAAGGGGCGGGGGTGTTTTAAGTGAATTTGGTGCTGGCCGAAAGAACCAGCCAAGACAAATTCAAATGTCCATGTATCTAGACCCAGCACAGACGACAGCGTGGCAGCCGTCTCCACATTCCCGCACAAGCACACCCCCTTCTCGGTGTGAGCTAGGGTGCAGGCTCCCTGGCCCCTCCTCTGCTCTGATTGGCCAGGGAGATTGGGGAAGATGCTTTTGGCAGGGTGGATGCTTGTGAGATGACACCCACCCACCCATCTCACAGCCATCAGCTGGGGGTAACTTACCAAAACCCCTTACAGACATGCCTCGCACCTCCAGCTCCCATGGCCTTTGGCTGGAATTACGTCTCTGACTAGCCAGCCCTGCCCGGGAACAGAAGCAGGGATTGGGAGAGGAAAGGCTCCATTTCCGAATACCAAGCTCCCAAGCCAGCCGGAGCCAGGAGCTTCTCCATCAGACTTGCAAAGGGTTTGATCGTCCACTTCGGTTCCTCCCTAGTGCAAGATGTTTTGTGGGGAAACTCAGCTACGATAGCTATAAACTAGAGATGTAGGTTCCATATCCCTACGCCTGAGCCTCCCCCTCCAGGGGAAGGGGAATTTGCCCCAGCTCACGATCATGGTCGTGGGATTTGTACTACCAACCCCCAGGGAGGTTTACAGCTGTAATTCCTCTGCAGAGGCCACATGGCAGAGCCTTTATGGGAAGCCACTGCATTTGCACACGCCCCTCATGAGCCAACACCACCCACTTTTGGAGCTGTGCTGGCACCTTGTGTGTGGACACATCACACTCATGTACACACACACACACACACACACACACACACACACACAGGGAGTCTGAAGGTGAGGTTACTGTGGATCACAACTTGATCCCTGGTGGATTTGCTACCCATAGGGACCTCCCTCTGGGTTTCACTCTGGAGTGAAGCCAGTTCATTTATTTAATACTGGTGGCCATGGTGTAACGTCACTCCCAGCAGCTACTAGTAACGGGTGGGCATTTCTTCTGAAACATAGCATGCCACCGGCGAAGTGCGTTCGTCTTCATTGGATTAGCCTCTATCCTAGGAGGCAGGGTGACAGCCTCTCTTAATTTCCTCTTGCAGATGTTGTCTCTATGGCTTCCCCAGAAGAAAATCCATTTCAGAAACACCTCTTGCTCTTCAACGTCTCTATCCCCCGGCACGAAGTCATCACCAGAGCTGAGCTGCGACTCCACATTGCCTGCAGTAGGGACGTCGGGCCTCTCTCAAGGCTGGAAGGCAAGTTGGTCATTTATGATGTTACCGATAGACATCTCTGGCAAAGCCCAGAAGGCGCCAAAGCCTTCCTTGTCTCCCGAGAGATCCAGGAATGCGGATGGGAAATGTTTGAGGTGTCCGGTGCTGTGAAAAGATGGGTCAGGGCAGACAAACCCAAGACCAAAAACAAGCTTGAGGTTGTGGTGGAGCGGAAAACCCAGGGGGACTCCGTTTATGGGAAACTGGACATCAGTGTGTCGCCCGACACGACACAACTGCCCTTGCTGGTAGTGTTCTCCAACGACCACAGCAACGGGAGCAAGGAGACCAGATTGGAGCTCCGGGAAATGATAGTTCATGAGCAGGAGAGCATGCTGAAGAAGTTAGCCAAGAACAGCACTTTGCCTGAAGAGGAAGAGGAGGGAGAGGCGAAATCCATATCCGGCCCCGGGCTCCACTCGCCTTCATCCAGAAGCAAGAGAAGCACCGGTAGCAACCACTGCCGGAGAACCTCCCTCCGCGTGAACTTCAAGGAAATCGGCTGGGATTCCTGGATCATGGCGCCCAAAGATTACGATGCATTTGAATGCAAAGGGGGATGCTTCTTCCCGTTGACGGACAACGTAACCCCCACGAAACATGCCATCGTCCAGACCTTGGTGCACCTCAAAAACCCCAAGAAAGCTGCCAAGGCCTGCTGTGTTCCCACCAAACTGGATCCCATTTCTATCCTCTACATGGATGACGCTGGGGTGCCCACTCTGAAACATAAATACGAGGGGATGAAAGTAGCAGAGTGCGGGTGCAGGTAGTCGAGGGCAGCAGCTTTCGGAGCACGGTCTGACCTTTCTGCTCCGGTGTAAATCTGTACGTTACTGGTGTAAATGTAAATCCACGCACGCAAGCTTCTTTTTTATAGGAAAAAAACCTAACGCTTCCCAGAATGTACACTCTGTAAATAAATGGCATGTAATAGGCTATAATGAAACCCGTGTTACAATCCTGTGTGATTGAAAGCGCGATGCATTATTTACTGACACAGCAATTTCTCCTGCAGCATCTGAATCCTGTTTCCCGGTAATTGAATGAATCTTTGTGGGGGGCAAACCATGGAATTTGGCAGCTTGGGTCCGGATTGTCAAAACAGCCTAAGAGATTTGGAAGCCCTTTTAATGGAAACAGAGGCTTTAAGGCCCAGCCCTGTAAAGGGACTTAGGCACCTACAATCTATAGACACTTCAACGCACTTGGCCCCCAGGATTTTGCAAGTAAGGCGTCCTAGGTACCCATCTCCCACCTTAGCCCCAGAACAACACACAAGCCCTAGGCAGAGAAGCATCTTTCTTACCCAGTGGGGCCCAATCAGGTCGGCATCCGACTTCACCCAGCACAGGAGGGGGAGACCTCCCTCCTGCATCACCATTAGCCCAGCGGGTCGGCAGCTCAGTTGGGAAGTGGGACCTGCTCGGGCTGATGCGGACAGTGACCTCCCAGGCGCGTGTCCTAGCCACCGCACAACAGAGGGATTCACTAGGCGAGTCCCCTGGCGGAATAGCCCTGCGCTGCAGAGCCCTGTTCAAACCCCATCCCTCATCCGGCAGCCCTTGGACTTGAACCGCAACCCAAGGGAGGCCCGTAGGCATAGGGGATGGGTCCCTCCATGGCCCTGTGGGGTGCCTCGCCCTTTCTCCCCAAGAGGGATTTAGCGCGGAAGCCGCCCGACTCCAGGAGGGGTTTTCCCGGCTGTGCGCCACAAGCCTTCCTCACTGATCTCCATGACAGTGCCGGGCGCCGCCTGGTTTGCTGGGGGAGGCTAGGCAGCCCCGTGTGCTGCCTTTTGGGGACCGCACTCCAACGTGCCTTCCTCCCCCATGCGGGCTGGGGGAGCCTTCCTAGCCAGGAGTGTCATTAAGCACTGCAACCGGTTGACAAGCTGCCTGCGGCCAGTCGAGAACATGCGTCACCTCCGGCACCAACCCCTGGCTGCTTGTGGGATCCACCCTCCAATCTCCCCGCCCAATGATCAAGTGCAAACAGCTTGAGCACTAGGCCAGCCGTGGCATGCTCCCCCATGCGGGCTGGGGGAGCCTTCCTAGCCAGGAGTGTCATTAAGCACTGCAACCGGTTGACAAGCTGCCTGCGGCCAGTCGAGAACATGCGTCACCTCCGGCACCAACCCCTGGCTGCTTGTGGGATCCACCCTCCAATCTCCCCGCCCAATGATCAAGTGCAAACAGCTTGAGCACTAGGCCAGCCGTGGCATGGAGACCAGGTGGGAAGGGGCAGGGCCCAAAGTGGGTGGGGCCTGAAGTAGAAAGGACGGGCCCAACGTGGAAGGGGCGGGGCTGAGGACGAGCCTCCCCTTAGAGCTGTCTGCAGCTGGAGGCTTTGAATCAAAAACACAGCACAGGGCTTGCAGCTCCTGGCCCCACCATTGCCTGGCAGCTGCTCAGGGTTGCTGTGGCTATTTAAAGGACTCCTGGCTCCAGCCCTGAGCCTTTTAAATAGTCACAGCAACCCCAGGTGGCTGCCAGGCAACACGGTAGCAGCAGGGCCGGGGGCCGTGGGGCCCTT